GCCTTGCAAAAGTATTCATCCCCCTTGGCGTTTTTTTTCCTATTTTTTCCCATTACAACCTGTAATTTAAATGGATTTTTATTTGGATTTCATGTAATGGACATACACAAAATAGTCCAAATTTGTGAAGTGAAATACAAAAAATAACTTTTTCCAAAAAATGAAAAAAATAAAATAACGGAAAAGTGGAGCGTGCATATGTATTCACCCCCTTTGCTATGATCTGGTGCAACCAGTTACCTTCAGAAGTCACAAAATTAGTTCAATAAAGTCCACCTGTGTGCAATCTAAGTCACATGATCTGTCACATGATCTCAGTATATATACACCTGTTCTGAAAGGCCCAAGAGTCTGCAACACCACTAAGCAAGGGGCACGACCAAGCAAGCGGCACCATGAAGAACAAGGAGCTCTCCAAACAGGTCATGGACAAAGTTGTGGAGAAGTACAGATCAGGGTTGGGTTATAGAAAAATATCAGAAACTTTGAACATCCCACAGACCACCATTAAATCCATTATAAAAAAATGGAAAGAATATGGCACCACAACAAACCTGCCAAGAGAGGGCCGCCCACAAAAACTCACGGACCAGGCAAGGAGGGCATTAATCAGAGAGGCAACAAAGACACAAAAGATAACCCTGAAGAAGCTACAAATCTCCACAGCGGAGATTGGAGTATCTGTCCATAGGACCACTTTAAGCCGTACACTCCACAGAGCTGGGCTTTACAGAAGAGTGGCCAGAAAAAAGAAATTGCTTAAAGAAAAAAATAAGCAAACAGGTTTGGTGTTCGCCAAAAGGCATGTGGGAGACTCCCCAAACATATGGAAGAAGGTACTCTCGTCAGATGAGACTAAAATTTAGCTTTTTGGCCATCAAGGTAATTATTATTATTATTATTATTATTATGTCTGGCGTAAATCCAAACCTCTCATCACCCTGAGAACACCATCCCCACAGTGAAGCATGCTGTTGGCAGCATCATGCTGTGGGGATGTTTTTCATCGGCAGGGACTGGGAAACTGGTGAGAATTGAAGGCATGATGGATGGCGCTAAATACTGGGAAATTCTTGAAGGAAACCTGTTTCAGTCTTCCAGAGATTTGAGACTGGGACGGAGGTTCACCTTCCAGCAGGACAATGACCCTAAGCATACTGCTAAAGCAACACTCGAGTGGTTTAATGGGAAACATTTAAATGTCTTGGAATGGCCTAGTCAAAGCCCAGACCTCAATCCAATTGAGAATCTGTGGTATGACTTAAAGATTGCTGTACACCAGCGGAACCAATCCAACTTGAAGGAGCTGGAGCAGTTTTGCCTTGAAGAATGGGCAAAAATCCCAGTGGCTAGATGTGCCAAGCTTATAAAGACATACCCCAAGAGACTTGCAGCTGTAATTGCTGCAAAAGGTGGCTCTACAAAGTATTAACTTTGGGGGGTTGAATAGTTATGCACGCTCAAGTTCTGTTTTTTTGTCTTATTTCTTGCTTGTTTCACAAGAAAAAAATGTTTTTTTCATCTTCAAAGTGGTAGGCATGTTGTGTAAATCAAATGATACAAACCCCCCAAAAATCAATTTTAATTCCAAGTTGTAAGGCAACAAAATAGGAAAAATGCCAATGGGGTGAATACTTTCGCAAGCCACTGTACCTGCAGATTCATGCAGGGTAGTAATGTTATGAGTTGGGATTATGGTTCATTGTTTAGCTAGCTACATGACCAAACAAAAGACTCCACTATGCAAGTAACCATTTCAATAGAATGTTCATGATGTCACTGCGACAACTGCCGATAGACGTAGCTGGTAAATTCACTCTTGCTATCTACTCCGATTTCAAAGCACTCGTCTGTGTGTGCCAGAGCGCAGAATAACTGACGGATTTACGAACCTGTTGAATATATGGCCGGTGTCAGTAAATGTTGGCAAAAAAGCATAATTAAATTATTGCCAGCAGCACAGTTGCAGTCACCAATGCTCTGGATAACATAAAAACAGCCTAACCAGCTCTGCTAGGGTGAGTAAAATGGTCAGAGTGAGCTGTTCCCTCATTTGTGTCTGGAAGTAGCTAGCAAGCTAGCAAACGTTAGCCAGTTAGCTTGGGTGCTTGGCTGCTTGGCTAATGCTGTTAAGTCAGAACGGTCGGATCAACCCTATTCCTCGTCCAGAGCATCCAGTGTGTGCTCTGAACGCTCCGAGAGCGAAATGCTCTGAATTTACGAACAGACAATCTGACAACGCTCTGAGTTTACGAACGCCCAGAGCGCACACTGGGCTCACTCTGGCACTCCAGATTGAATTTACGAAGTAACCCGTAGTATAAACCAGCCTTTAGTCTTGAAATCTTTGGTTGTTTAGTACATGGCCTCACATGTGAATCCTTAAAGAGAAGGGTGGGGCTAAGGCTTAAGAGGGTGTGAACGATGCTGAATGGGTGTAGACAAAGAAGAGATCTCCAGTAGGTGTACCAAAACATTCAAGGGCCATTTTCTCTTGAGGTTACAAGTTTGTCAACTTTCAAAGCAGAATTACTTTCCCATTGTTCCTCAACTGTAGTGTATGATATACCATTTTATAGCTCAGATTCTCTACTTTTATCCAATGTAAAAAACACAATTTCAAATGTTGCTACATAAGACCGAATCGAGCCGGTCGATCAAATATTTCCTGAGCTTTCTTACATCTCCTAGATATTGGACAGACACTTCAAAACTTGTGTAAAAAAATTAATCCGAATGAACAACCAACCATAGAAATATAATCCATAGATGGCGGTTCCCATTCAAGTAAGGTCTGGCAGCCATTGCTAGCGTACCCATGAGTTTAATAGTCAAATTGCCAGGGTATTGGAATTATTTATTTATTATTTATTTGCTCCGTGGGATGTTCAAAGTTTCTGATATTTTTTTATAACCCAACCCTGATCTGTAATTCTATACAACTTTGTCCCTGACCTGTTTGGAGAGCTCCTTGGTCTTCATGGTGCTGCTTGCTTGGTGGTGCCACTTGCTTAGTGGTGTTGCAGACTCTGGGGCCTTTTAGAACAGGTATATATATACTGAGATCATTTGACAGATCATGTGACACTTAGATTGCACACAGGTGGACTTTATTTAACTAATTATGTGACTTCTGAAGGTAATTGGATGCACCAGATCTTATTTAGGGACTTCATACCAAAGGTATGCACGCACCACTTTTCCGTTATTTATTTTTGTAGAATTTTTTGAAACAAATCATTTTTTTCATTTCCTTTCACCAATTTGGACTATTTTGTGTATATCCATTACATGAAATAAAAATAAAAATAAATTTAAATTACAGGTTGTAATGTAACAAAATAGGAAAAATGCCGAGGGGGATGAATACTTTTGCAAGGCACTGTGTGTGTGTGTGTGTGTGTATATATATACACACACTGTGTGTATATATATACACACACACTACCAGTTAAAAGTTTGGACACACCTACTCATTCAAGGGTTTATCTTTATTTTTACTATTTTTTACATTGTAGAATAATAGTGAAGACATCAAAACTATGAACACATACGGAATCATGTAGTAACCAAAACAGTGTTAAACAAATTAACATATATTTAATATTTGAGATTCTTCAAATAGCCACCATTTGCCTTGATGACAGCTTTGCAAACTCTTGGCATTCTCTCAACCAGCTTCACCTGGAATGTTTTTCCAACAGTCTTGAAGGAGTTCCCACATATGCTGAGCACTTGTTGGCTGCTTTTCCTTCACTCTGCCATCCGACTCATCCCAAATCATCTCAATTGGGTTGAGGTCGGGGGATTGTGGAGGCCAGGTCATCTGATGCATCACTCTCCTTCTTGGTAAAATAACCCTTACACAGCCTGGAGGTGTGTTGGGTCAAGCCCAAACCAGATGGGATGGCGTATTGCTGCAGAATGCTGTGCTAGACATGCTGGTAAAGTGTGCCTAGAATTCTAATAAATCACAGACAGTGTCACCAGCAAAGCACCCCCACACCATAACACCACCACCTCCATTCTTTACGGTGGGAACTACACATGTGGAGATCATCTGTTCTCCCACACCGCGTCTCAAAGACACGGCGGTTTGAACCAAAAATCTCCAATTTGGACTCCAGACCAAAGGACAAATTTCCACCGGTCTAATATCCATTGCTCGGGTTTCTTGGCCCAAGCATGTCTCTTCTTCTGGTTGGTGTCCTTTAGTAGTGGTTTCTTTGCAGCAATTCGACCATGAAGGCCTGATTCACACAGTCCCCTCTGAACAGTTGATGTTGAGATGTGTCTGTTACTTGAACTCTGTGAAGCATTTATTTGGGCTGCAATTTCTGAGGCTGGTAACTCTAATGAACTTATCCTCTGCAGCAGAGGTACCTCTGGGTCTTCCATTCCTGTGGCGGTCTTCATGAGAGCCCGTTTCATCATAGCGCTTGATGGTTTTTGCGACTGCACTTGAAGAAACTTTCAAAGTTCTTAATGTTCAGTATTGACTGACCTTCATTTCTTAAAGTAATGATGGACTGTCGTTTCTCTTTGCTTATTTGAGCAGTTTTTGCCATAATATGGACTTGGTCTTTTACCAAATAGGTGCTATCTTCAAACTTTTGACTGGTACTGTATATACACATATATATATATATATATATATATATATATATATATATATATATATATATATATATATATATATACATACATACATATATAATATACACAAAAACATATTATTCAATTTTTTTTTTACATTGTTATAAATAAATAAAAATGCTGCCTCTTGGGCCCAGGGGCTTCAACCCTGGTAAGCCCCTGAATTAATCCGGCTCGTCGGTGGCCAATGCTGGTTGCAATTGAGATAAGCTTGCGGTTGAATTTAGCGCGTATTGATGGTTTAACAAGAGATCAGCTGGCTCTTCGTCGCAATAGGCACATTGATATCAATGACCAGACACCCTGAGAGTACCCTTGGAGCCCTAATCCCTTGTTTTCCATGCCTACTTGGTGAAGTGTATATTTCTGATGTCCATCAGAGAGGTGAGGATGGGGAGTGATCCAGTAACATGCTGGGAAAGAGAGGGAGGGAGGGAGAGAGAAAGGCCTGGTTTTGGATAGACCCAGACACAATATACTTTAAACTTCCACACACACAAAAATGTGACAGACAGACACATGGACTGATGGACAAACGCGGTGGGAAAAGCACTGAGTGACCCAGAGGCAAAGGGAGAGGATCAATAAACACACTATCACAATATCAGGCCTCCACTGACAGAGCACACACCCTAACCCTAAACACACTAGCTAAACTATCCTATAAGAATGAAAGAACATCTCTCCAGCACAGCACATCGAATTGGCCAAATTCACTCCCCACCTCTCACTGTGATCGGAATGTGTAGTGGTGAGTATGTAAAAAGGGCTTTGGTCCCTGGCGTCCCAAAATATTGTAGTCTTACAGGAGGTCTGAACATTTGGGGTGTTTGTGTGTATGAGGGTTCAGGGTTGCACTTTCCAACTAGGAGTTCTGAAAACCCTGTGAATGTTTTTTTAAATGTTGAAATCCTAGTTGGGAGTCTTTGTGGTGTCTTGTGAGGGTGGTGTTCACTCACCCGGTCCTCCCCACAAACCCAGGGAGGTGTCTCAAAGCTGATGACGGGGAGGAAGGCTACAATCTGCAGCCACCTGATAAACAGCTCCTCGTCAGTCACCAGGTCCCCAGACAGAGAACCACCTGGAAGAAAGAAAGAAAGAGATGGGGGGGGTGGAGAGGGAGATGTAGGGGAAGGGTGTGGGGGGAGAGAGAGAGAGAGAGTTAGAATTTATCAAACCAGCCTGCTATGCCCATATACTATAGAGGTAGACAGACATTTCACTGAAGGCGTGAAATCCAACAGTTATTAATATAGCATTTTAGTCTGAGAGGGTGAAAGAAGTTAGTGAGATTTCCAGCCCATCTATCCTTCCTCTCTCTGACATCTTTCTGTTTTCTCCACATCAAAGTAAATACTTGTCTGATATGTTCCCTAACCGGAATTCAGAGTATTTTGGGAATATGTCATTTTTTTGCCAAAGCCCAAGGATGTTTCACCTTTGGGAATATGCAGTCGTCCAGAATATCAAAGGTGGTGCGATGGTTGTTACTTTAAATAGAATCAGGTCTGACTGCAGACTTTATGGCAGAAATAGCAGTGAACCCATGACCAAACCATCTGAAAATAACTTCAAATCTAGTCATTGATCAGCACAATCCATTTAAGAGATCATTTGGGCAGCCTCCCGAGTGGCGCAGCGGTCTAAGACACTGCTACGCAGTGCTTGAGGCGTCACTACAGACCAAGGTTCGATCCCAGGCTGTGTCACAGCCGGCCCAGCGTCATCCGGGTTAGGGGAGGGTTTGGCCAGCCGGGATGACCTTGTCCCATTGCTCTCTAGCAGCTCCTTGTGGCGGGCCGGGCGCCTGCAAGCTGACTTCGGTTGTACGGTGTTTCCTCTAACACATTGGTGCGGCTGGCTTCTGGGTTAAGCGAGGAGTGTGTCAAGAAGCAGTGCGGCTTGGCAGAGTCGTGTTTCTGACGACACATGCCTCTCCCGAGTTGTGAGTGAGTTGCAGCGATGGGACAAGACTGTAACTATCAATTGGATATCACGAAAATGGGGTAAAAGTACAACAACATAAAAATAGATGATTTGGGCATGCAATTTTATAACATACTGAACAGCGGATATTGACATTCAGTTTTGGTCCGTACATGCTCATATTAGCGATTAGTGGCAATGGCTACTTTAACTAAACTAAAGTGTGGATTGCAGTCCCTCCTTGTCCATAGACTGCTTTCATGGCAAGGAAACCAATATGCTAACATGTACTTTTGCTGAACTATCCCTTTATACAGGACTATCCAAACAATGTAAAAGCAGTGAGCATCTGAATCAGACTTTACTGTATTCTAGAGACTGACTATTTCAGGGTATAATAGACTAGGTGATTGATGAATTGAGCGAGCGAATTAATGAGTGAATGAGGGAGTCAACATTCACTCGTTTGCTCACTAGCGAGAGTGTGAGTGTCCATTGGCTTTGGTACGACTATCTGAACTGAAGGTATAGTGATGGTGAGTAGCTGTGGTATTACCTACTGCGTCGGGAATGAGTAAGTTGTACCCCAGCAGAGTGTGGTGCAGCAAGGAGGGAATGAGGCCCTTCAGTCCAGAGGAGCTCCAGTCAGACTGCAAAGGAGGCATTCGCACAAACACAGGCTTGTGGCTCGACCTGGGGGAAGAGCGAGAAATGATAGTTATGCTATATTGTCAGTGTATTGTGTGTGTGTGCAAAGAAAGAAAGCGAGAGAAAGAGAGTCCTCCCTCAGCCCTCACCTTGTCCCTGCATTCATGATAGCTGACTCTTCTATCCTGGCTGCCACATCCGCCAGCTGGCCGATATACTGATCTCCCCCGCCCAGGTCCAGCGGGTTCCCCTCTGCCCCCTCCAGAAGGATGTACTCCATGCCCAGACGGGCCTGCAGCAAGCCCACCCGGTCCAGGAACCAGCTGACCGCCTCTGGGTTGCTGATATTCAGCTTCACGCAGAATTGCCCTCGCCACTGGGTTAGCACAGGCACCTGGAAAGAGAGAGAGTAGATTGGGCAATATGTCATTGTATGGCCTTTACATACTTAAAACATTAGAACATGCCAGACTTGGACAATACCTGAAGAGGACAAGCAGGAAATAAACGCCACAATAAATATGGTCTTTAAAGCATGCAAAATGCAAGGATGCCATTTTCCTTTTTTTCATCCAGATAACCACCACCCCATTACAACAGACACCTCCCTTAGGCCCAATGGATCTCCCCACTACACTTAGAAAAAACAGTGCTAAGTAGAACCATATAGCGTTCTTCGGCTATCCCGATATGGGAACCCTTTACAAAAAACCCTCGTCTTCCAAAAAGGGTTATTCGGATGAAAACGGTTCATAGTAAAATCCTAACCCTTCGCAAAGAACCCTTTTGGAATCCTTTTTTCTGAGTGTAGAGTTCCACCACTCCCCAGGTCAGGTGACGGTTTGCTAGGCTGCTTACCAGTCGCCCCTGTGGGGCTACGGGGAGGCTGAGCCAATAGGCCTCGGTGCCGTCCAGCAGGGACTTGTGAAACTGGGTGGTGTCCACGCTCAGGAACGGGGACAGGGTGATGGAAATGTTTAGAAGCTTGATCAGCGAGAGGTCCCTGAAGTCCCTGGTCTGTCTCTTGGATGTCCCCCTTTTCCTGCTGGTGAGGTAGTCATGGTCCTGTAGGAAGAGAGAAAGAGATATTGGAGCAGAAGACCAGAAAAGAGACATGCAGGATATTAACTGGGAACTGAAGAAGACCATGTCGTCAAAACATTGTGATCATATCACTTAAGCTTCATTAAAAAATCACGTTTGGGAGCAGCAAAACAGTGAGCCGGCTTTCTTTTCTCTTCATTTTTCTTTATTCTTTGAAAAATATAACCTGATTGAAAACAAGATGCTGCCGCTTTGCTTACTTACAAAGTTTCACTTTTTTATTGAAGTTAACATTTTGGTTCACCTACCTTGGTTTAGGTAGACCTAAACTTCATCACTTCAATAAATACATTTCAAAGTAAGCCATGTACAAGAACAGCTACAGTATCAAAACAAAAACCATTAATGCTGTTGAAACAGAACCAAGAAAGGGACACTGAAGGACACTATTGGTAGAAAATAACAGAAATTCTACTATTCTAAATTCTACTAATTCTACTATTGAGTAAAGTAGCTGACTCATGCGGCCTTTGGACTCTGTGGCTGCTATAACTACTACAGTGAGGGAAAAAAGTATTTGATCCCCTGCTGATTTTGTACATTTGCCCACTGACAAAAAAATGATCAGTCTATAATTTTAATGGTAGGTTTATTTGAACAGTGAGAGACAGAATAACAAATAAATCCAGAAAAATGCATGTCAAGAATGTTATAAATTGATTTGCATTTTAATGAGGGAAATAAGTATTTGACCCCCTCTCAATCAGAAAGATTTCTGGCTCCCAGGTGTCTTTTATACAGGTACCGATCTAAGATTAGGAGCACACTCTTAAAGGGAGTGCTCCTAATCTCAGCTTGTTACCTGTATAAAAGACACCTGTCCACAGAAGCAATCAATCAATCAGATTCCAAACTCTCCACCATGGCCAAGACCAAAGAGCTCCCCAAGGATGACAGGGACAAGATTGTAGACCTACACAAGGCTGGAATGGGCTACAAGACCATCGCCAAGCAGTTTGGTGAGAAGGTGACAACAGTTGGTGCGATTATTCGCAAATGGAAGAAACACAAAATAACTGTCAATCTCCCTCGGCCTGGGGCTCCATGCAAGATCTCACCTCGTGGAGTTGCAATGATCATGAGAACGGTGAGGAATCAGCCCAGAAATACACGGGAGGATCTTGTCAATGATCTCAAGGCAGCTGGGACCATAGTCACCAAGAAAACAATTGGTAACACACTACGCCGTGAAGGACTGAAATCCTGCAGCGCCCGCAAGGTCCCCCTGCTCAAGAAAGCACATATACAGGGCCGTCTGAAGTTTGCCAATGAACATCTGAATGATTCAGAGGAGAACTGGGTGAAAGTGTTGTGGTCAGATGAGACCAAAATCGAGCTCTTTGGCATCAACTCAACTCACCGTGTTTGGAGGAGGAGGAATGCTGCCTATGACCCCAATAACACCATCCCCACCGTCAAACATGGAGGTGGAAACATTATGCTTTGGGTGTGTTTTTCTGCTAAGGGGACAGGACAACTTCACCGCATCAAAGGGACGATGGACAGGGCCATGTACCGTCAAATCTTGGGTGAGAACCTCCTTCCCTCAGCCAGGGCATTGAAATGGGTCGTGGATGGGTATTCCAGCATGACAATGACCCAAAACACACGGCCAAGGCAACAAAGGAGTGGCTCAAGAAGAAGCATATTAAGGTCCTGGAGTGGCCTAGCCAGTCTCCAGACCTTAATCCCATAGAAAATCTGTGGAGGGAGCTGAAGGTTCGAGTTGCCAAACGTCAGCCTCGAAACCTTAATGACTTGGAGAAGATCTGTAAAGTGGAGTGGAACAAAATCCCTCCTGAGATGTGTGCAAACCTGGTGGCCAACTACAAGAAACATCTGACCTCTGTGATTGCCAACAAGGGTTTTGCCACCAAGTACATGTTTTGCAGAGGGGTCAAATACTTATTTCCCTCATTAAAATGCAAATCAATTTATAACATTTTTGATATGCTTTTTTCTGGATTTTTTTGTTGTTATTCTGTCTCTCACTGTTCAAATAAACCTACCATTATAGACTGATCATGTCTTTGTCAGTGGGCAAACATACAAAATCAGCAGGGGATCAAATACTTTTTTCCCTTACTGTAAGTAAACACGTAACTATGGCGATATAACCTCTGCTACGACTGTTTAACATCTAATTTAATCATCTGGTGATTAGACGTGAGAAGAAAAGGGCAAAGGGGATTTCTGCTTATGTAATGGCATAACTAAGAAAGCCTTTTGATACAAGTTGACCTTTTGAGCCTGACCCCATGAGGTCAACCATTACACAGTAATTATTACACTTCAAAGGAAACATAACTTTTATAAATCTTCATAAACCCTTTATGAGGCCTCTTCATAAGCAAATATCATGAAGGGTGGGGAAAGGGTGGTATCGCACTTGACAGAGCAACAGATGTAAGGACTGAGTATATCACCTTAATGTAGCTTATAAATTATTAGAGAAATATCTACCGATATGTAGTGCTTATAAAGACTTTATGAATGCTCTATAAAGTCTTTACAAGTTGTTTTTCATTTAAAGGGAGACAAATAGTCCCTTATAGTATTTATCATACTAGCTAGCTGTAAGTCGCTCTGGTTAAGAGCATGTGCTAAATGACTAAAATGTAAATGTATCATTGAATAATGCTGATCTAACAAAAATGTATGATCCGATTGTATTTTGTTTGGCCAACCATACATTACACAAAGTTTTTTCAGCAATTTACATTTACATTTTAGTCATTTAGCAGACGCTCTTATCCAGAGCGACTTACAGTTAGTGCATACCTATTTTTTATTTTATTTTTTTTTCATACCCCCTGTGGGAAACGAACCCACAACCCAGGCGTTGCAAACGCCATGCTCTATCTACTGTGCTACATCCCTGCCGGCCATTCCCTCCATACCCTGGACGACGCTGGGCCAATTGCGCGCCGCCCCATGGGTCTCCCGGTCGCGGCCGGCTACGACAGAGCCTGGATTCGAACCAGGATCTCTAGTGGCACAGCAATAAAGGCAAAAACCTGGCAGTCCTATTTATATCCCAATTTGCTCTACGCCAAGTTGTTGTTCCAACTCAAGAGCTCGTTGTATAAAGCTAATATGGAAACTAGAAAAAAAAAATAACTTGTGGCTTGACTGATAACTTATGAATACTTATAAAAATATAACAAGAGAGAAGCATAGTCCTTGCAGCAATTCATTGTTGCCGTTCACACTTACGCTACTTTGCCAATCGTGCCAAGGTTTCCATACGCTAACTGTGCCCTTGGATAATTCGACGTTATTAGCAAAGTGAACTGGGTGACCTCAGCAAGCACCCTTTGATCAGACGCTCTTGTTCTTAGTCTCAAAAATATTATCCTTCCCCCGCAATGTCTCTCTCTCTCTCTCTCCTCTCTCACCCCCCACCCCCCCCCCCCCCCTGTGGGAAAGTGACTGTGGAGATGGAATGCAAACCTGGTGTGTTCTGATAGACAGTGAATTTAGAATAACAGTAGGTGAACTGGCGACTCCTCTCCCATGTAGCTGAGGCAGATCACTGCACTAGCTAGGTGTCAGGTTCACCTAAACTAGTGTCTCTTGGCTCCCTGCCCAGCCTCAGTCAAATGTCTCGGCTGTCCGACTATCAGCCGGGGGACATAGGACTATTTTTCTTCTCACAGATGTATTTGTTTGAATGAGATATCAAAGTATTGCAGAGAATCCGGGGGGTAGCCCCGACCGGCATAACCCAACAATTTAGCCGTTACACCAAGATATCAAATACATTTTTATTTGTCACATGCGCCAAATACAACAGGTGTAGACCTTACTGTGAACTGCTTACTTAACCAACAATGCAGTTAAGAAAATAGAGTTAAGAAAATATTTACTAAATAAACTAAAGTTAAAAATAAAAATTATGAGGCTATATACAGGGGGTACCGGTATCGAGTCAATGTGCGGGGGTACAGGTTAGTTGAGGTAATTTGTACATGTAGGTAGGGGTAAAGTGACTATGCATAGATGATAAACAGCGAGTAGCAGCAGTGTAAAACAAAAGGGGGGGTGGGGTCAATGCAAATAGTCCGGGTGGCCATTTGATTAATTGTTCAGCAGTCTTATGACTTGGGGGTAGAAGCTGTTAAGGAGCCTTTTGGACTTAGACTTGGCGCTCCGGTACCGCTTGCCGTGCGGTAGCAGAGAGAACAGTCTATGACTTGGGTTACTGGAGTTTTTGACAAAATTTAGGGCCATCCTCTGACACCGCCTAGTATATAGGTCCTGGATGGCAGGAAGCTTGGCCCCAGTGATTTTACATTTACATTTTAGTCATTTAGCAGACGCTCTTATCCAGAGCGACTTACAGTTAGTGAATACATATATATATATATTTTTTTTTTCATACTGGTCCCCCGTGGGAATCGAACCCACAACCCTGGCGTTGCAAACGCCATGCTCTATCAACTGAGCTACATCCCTGCCGGCCATTCCCTCCCCTACCCTGGGCCAATTGTGCGCCGCCCATGAGTCTCCCGGTCGCGGCCGGCTGCGACAGAGCCTGGATTCAAACCAGGATCTCTAGTGGCACAGCTAACACTGCGATGCAGTGCCTTAGACCACTGCGCCACTCAGGAGACAGGAGTGATGTACTGGGCTGTACGCACTACCCTCTGTAGTGCCTTACGGTCGGATACCGAGCAGTTGCCATACCAGGCGGTGATGCAACCGGTCAGGATGCTCTCGTTGGTACAACTGTATAACTTTTTGAGGATCTGGGGACCCATGCCAAATCTTTTTAGTCTCCTGAGGGGTAAAAGGCGTTGTCGTGCCCTTTTCATGACTTTCTTGGTGTGTTTGGATCATGATAGTTTGTTGGTGATGTGGACACCAAGGAACTTCAAACTCTCGACCGGCTCCACTACAGCCCCGTCGATGTGAATGGGGCGTGTTCAGCCCTCCTTTTCCTGTAGTCCACGATCATCTCCTTAGTTTGCTCACGTTGAGTGAGATGTTGTTGTCCTGGCACCACATACACACATCCGAACCTCTCAACTTGTTTGTAAGGTGTTGTTGGGCTAATAAAGTTTGCTGCACTACCCCTTCTTTTGAAAACCCTTTTTGGGGGTATCCTCGACTAGGACTCGAACCTGGGTCCAGCGACTGTCAACCAAACACCTTGGAAGGTCAAAATAAAGACGAGAGAAGAGACAAGGGTAACACTTTGTTTTTCAAGCCGCCGCTTACCAGGTAGTTACTTAGAAACTGCTTGTTATAATGGTAACCATTTGGGTTGAATTCTTTGAGGTAACTATCAGAAAGTATCCATTGTTACCACCTAAATACCAGGTAAGTACCAGCTTAAACTGGGCAGTAAAATGAAGTGTTACTGCGACAAGAAAGGAGAAGGAGAAAAGAGAGGAGGAGAGAAGGGACATACCATGTCGGCGAGGAGGGCGGTGGAATGTTCGTTGAGGCTGATGGCCCCCTCCCCCAGCTGGTGTCTCCTCAGACGGTTGGAGAAGGTCCTCAACTCCCTCTCTACCTTCGGCCCTGAGTCCACACTGGCCAGCAGCTTCCAGAAAGGCAACCTGGATGGGGGAGGGATGGACAGACAGATAGGATTCCGTCTAACTTAAGATCCACATGCATAACTCAAGTTTTTGACATCAATGCGTTACACATAAATTATGCGACTGCTGAGTTAAAAGCACAGGCATCTCAAGTTAGGATTCCAACTGAAATGGGAATTTGTGAGGTCTCGTTGGGTTTCAATCATATCTGCGCTAGCCGACACCCGCATAGCTGGTGTTTTGGTAGTGTTGGAAGTGGAACTGTGTTAGAGCTGTCAAATACTCAAGCGGCTACCGGTGTTATACCAATCGTAGACATTGCCTGTGGATGCACCTAGTCACATTAGTAGAAATCCCATGCAGCCGTGATACAAGTCTGAACACTCGCATGTGTGATGTAATCTACACCTCAATTAGGCTGATATAAATCATTTTTATTTCATTCAATAATTTTCAATTTGAGTATAATTTTTTCCAGCCTACACTTTCTCGTTCTGAACTTCTAACACGGGTGGAACAGGTGTGGCTTCATGACAATGACCACAAAAGCAGCCGCTCACCGATTTGACAGCTCCCATGGAGTTACACCTACGACACCGCCAAAACACCAGCTATGCGGGTGTCGGGTAGCGCCAGTTAATGCTTGATATGATTGAATCTAGGCCTAACACTTGAACAACATGACAATTGCCCTGCAATGGTTACTAAGACCAAACAGTTAGGCTGGTGTCACGGCTATTCCCGCTCCCCCGCTCCGGCGCTTGACGTCGCCGGTTTACTAACCACCGGCCCTGGCAACCCATCATTACGTACACCTGACAAACCTCACTACGCACACCTGCACCCCATCATTAGGCACACCTGGACTTCATTGCTACCCCTTTATCTAGCACTCCCTAGCATTACTCTTCACGCAGCTTTGGTTCTGTGTTCATGTCCAGATGCTTATCTTGTTTTGTATCGCTTTGTTCTTTATTATTAAACTCACCAACTGAACCTGCTTCCTGACTCCCAGCGTCATTGTTACAGAATACTGCCTCTACAAATGGAAGCAGCAGGGAATCAAGACATCTCCCAGATGGTCGGCAAACCGGGACACTTACTTCGCCAACACCACGACCAGCTGGCGCAACTGGGAATGGCTATGGATGAGGTCCTCCGCGTTCTTCAACGTCTCGACATTACCCGAGGGGCATCATCTCCAACGAGCGGAGGATTCTCTACTACAAATCGACCCAGCGAGCCAGCACCCCAGCCCATCCAGCAGTACGCCCAGGTCAGCGATGCCCGCTTGTCCCTCCCGGACAAATACGACGAGACTCCATCCAAATGCTGTGGCTTCATACTCCAGTGCTCCCTCTATTTCACTCATCAGATGGGAGCCCCCACCACCGAGAGGTCCAAGGTTGCCATGGTTACTTCCCTGCTGACCGGACGGGCGTTGGAATAGGCTACGGCCGTCTGGGAGAGAGGAGGGGAGGAGCTGGGTTCCTATGAGGGGTTCAATTCTCTGTTCAGAGGAGTCTTCGATCATCCACCGGAGGGCAGAGAGGGGGGTAAGTGCCTACTCCAACTACGTCAGGATGGCCAGACCGCTGCGGAGTACGCCCTCACCTTCCGGACAGTGGCAGCATCCAGCGGATGGAATGAGCTGGCACTCGGCACCCTATTCAGAAGAGGACCGTGCAAAGACACCCTCTCCTTGGACGCACTCATCGCGATGGCCATCCGTCTGGATAACCTTCTTCGGGAGTGTCGGCACCCCCCTCTCTACCTCCTTCGTTGACCGTTCTGAGTCAGAGCCTGAACCCATGGAAGTGGGGGCGACACGCCTCACCACGGCTGAGCGATGCCGTCAGAGACAGCTGGATCTCTGTCTCTATTGCGGTCAAGAGGTGCACCAGCTTCAATGGTGTCCGTTACGTCCCAACCCGGGGTCCACGAGAGCAGAGGGACAGCCCCGTGATCAGCTGTCTCCTGGGTTAGGCGTGAGTATTCCATCATCATTACTTTCCGCCAAACCCTTTTTACTATTGATTTCACTAGCTGGCTGTCCCTCATGTATTGTTTCTACAGCTCTAGTGGATTCTGGTGCGGTGGGGAATTTTATTGACCAGGCCCTTGCTTCCTCCCTCAACATCACCTCATACCCACTCCCCTCTCCGTTTCGGTTCAAGCGCTGGATAATGGACCACTGGGATCCGGGACTATCACACACATCACAACACCACTCACCCTCACTGTGGAGTCCATATATCAAGAAAGCCTTCCCTTCCTCATCATCAGTGCACCCGTACACAATATCATCCTTGGCCTCCCATGGCTCCAACGCCATAACCCCACCATCTCATGGTCGAGGATGACAATCACGTACTGGGCACCCGAATGCCGGAGCACCTGCTTTCCCTTCCCCTGTGGTTCCACGTCGGTTGAGAGTCCTGTGGTTGCCGTTCAGCCCAACGTCCCGGAAGTATAGCAAGACCTGCGGGAGTTTTTTTCCAAGACCCGCGCCACCTGTCTCCCTCCTCATCGCCCCTGGGACTGTGCCATCGTTTGCAGGCTCTGTGCCTCCCCGCAGTCGCATCTACCCTCTATTGGTGGCTGAAACCAAGGCTATGGAGGAGTACATCCATGAGGCGCTCCAACAGGGTTTCATCCACACGTCCACCTCCCCTGCATCTGTAGGCTTCTTCTTCATGGCAAAGAAGGATGGAGGGTTACTCCCGTGCATTGATTACAGAGATTTGAATTCCATCACCACTAAATACCGTTACCTTCTCCCATTGGTGCCGGCAGCGATCGAACAGCTCCGCGGGGCCCGGTTCTTTACCAAATTGGACCTGCGGAGTGCCTACAATCACGGTCAGCCTCACTTCCGGGTACCGGCCTCAGTTTAACGGGCATGTTGAGAGGATGAACCAGGAGCTGGGGAGGTTCATGAGGAGTCACTGCCAGGACCGGCAAGGGGAGTGGGCCCGATTCCTTCCCTGGGCGGAGTACGCCCAGAATTCATTGCGTCACTCCTCCACTGGGCTGACTCCCTTCAAGTGTGTGCTGGGTTATCAGCCAGCCCTGGCTCAGTGGACCCCGAGCCAGAACGAAGCTCCTGCGGTGGACGAGTGGTTCAGGTGCGCAGAAGAGGTTTGGAACGATGCCCACGTGAGACTCCAGCGCGCTGTCTGCCGCCAGAAGGAGTAGGCGGAACGCCAACTCAGTGAGGCTTCCGTGTTCCATCCTGGTGATCACATCTGGCTCTCCACCAGGAACCTCCCACTCCGCCTGCCCTGTAAGAAGCTGAGCCCCCGGTTTGTGGGGCCATTCAAGGTCCTCCGGAGGGTCAACGATGTGACAAAGATTACAGCTCTCCACTAACTATTGGATCTCACCTTCGACGTCGTGGGGGTCGGCTCCAGTACCTGGTGGACTGGGAGGGGTACGGTCCAGAGCAGCGGTGTTGGGTTCCGGTGGACGACATTCTAGATCCCAACATCATCCAAGATTTCCTCCTTCGCCATCCGCACCGGCTGGAGCGAAGGGGGGAGGGGTACTGTCACGTCTACTCCCGCACTGGCACTTTATGTCGCCGGTTTATTAACCACCGTTCCTAGCAACCCATCATTATACACACCTGGCAACCGTCATTATGCACACCTGGACTTCATTACTACCCTGATTACTCCCCCTTTATCTAGCACTCCCTCTTCAGGCAGTATTGGTTCTGTGTTCATGTCCAGACGCTTCTCTTGTATTGCTCCATGTTCTTTATTATTAAACTCACCAACTGCACCTGCTTCCTGACTCCCAGCGTCATTGTTACAGCTGGACTGACTTTGTATAGTATGGACTGCAATGGACTGTGCTACACAGCTGGGTGATGAATAGGTAATGATCTCTATCCATAAGTTATAACACATAGCTAGTCCACTATAATCTAAATTAAATGTAATACAATTCAGGAAGACGAAGATGAGGGAGTTGTACCATAAGATGTCCATGTTGGGCAGCACCCTGCTGGGCGGTGAGAGCTGCTGCAGCGCCTCCTGGTGTACAGCCCTGATGTTGCGGCCCACGCACACGGTGTACTGCAGCGGGGTGCGCTCCAGGCTGGAGGGAGAATGCAGGCAGAAATGCCGTCGGCTCTCCATTCCCACCTGAAGAGGAACGTCTGGGGAAACCAGCACAGCTACACCTGGAGGAGAGAGAGAGAGACTCAGGTTAACATCTCTAGCAAATAAATAAGGAATGTCAAACCCTATGTCAAACCAAAGGGGGTTGTAGAGAAAAAGCACTAAAATACAGAGAGAGAGCAAGGGAAAATACATGTGAGGTGCAGAGCCATGCTCTAACATTCCTGGATTTATGCACATGTACAACTCTCCGCCTGAGACCGGGGTTTAATCCCTGTGTCTACCCTTCACTCTGCATCTCCTGCTCACCTGAATCCCCATTAGATTCTCATCTGATGATAGAGAAAGAGAGAGGGAGGATGAGAGCGATCGTTAAAGGGAGTGAAGACTAAATAAGCCACAGCTAAAGTATTTGAAAGTATGTGTTAGATGCAGGTCTGCTGCTGACAATGCTTCTCAAATGGTGCATCGTGGTTAGTTCCTATTGGGTTGTACCTGTTCTGCCTATTCACTTTGTTTTGTTTATCTGATGGGTTACCAGAGAACTGTGAGTCACAAATCACGATGCAGGAACATTTGAGAGTCACATGCTCGGAAATGACAGTCAGATGCCAATGAAATGACATAGCGTGAGAGAGCGAGAGGGGTGACATAATGTGAGAGAGAGAAGCGAAGGGAGAAAGGTGATGTGGCAAGGGTGGGGGTGTGGGGGGTAGAGTCGGCTGATCTCAGTGCATGGTGGTGGGAAAAGCAACTTTAGGATGATATCTAGGGGTTCAATATCAATCATACCCCCATTGGGGTATTCACGCTTGGTCAAATAAACTCAAATACTGGTCTTGTGTACTGTGTAAAAACCTACAACTACTACCAGTCAGACTCCCCTACAGTAGGTGCCCCATCATACATCCTTTCATAGTGCTCAATTCTGTACAACCAACCAACCAACCACAATCTTAAACCCCCTAAGGGTGATGTCCTTGCCTCCACAGACGTCTAAATAGCATAATAAAAAAATCCCCATAAAAATCTGTCAGTTTAAGCTAGAGATCTGTTTTTTTGCATTGGATGAGTCTCAATTCACCGCATCTGCATATGTCGCACTACCGCATCTGCAGTGAAAGGTGACAGAGCTAGAGAGGTGTTTCTCAGACAATGAGACATCCTGAAAATCGGTCGTCTCACAAAATCTTCTGTAGCATCCAAACGGTTTGGCCTACAAACACAGTCTGATCTTTTCCTCTATGGAAAGATTAGACTCTCACGAACACGATGGTGTTCTGCATTTTGCTCTATGACCCCCACAAGCGTCTTGGGACTCGTCTGAAGTCTGGTGCTGACGCAGATGGCGGCCTCGCGACTAGCTCTTAGGAAACTTTGCGGTACTTTGTTTTTTTCTGTATTATTTTTTACATTATTAGCTCAGAAAGTGTTTTGTATCATTACATACAGCCGGGAAAAACTATTGGATATCAGAGCGACGGTAACTCACCAGCATTACGACCAGGAATACAACCTTCCCGAAGCAGATCCTTTGTTTGCTCTCCCCAGGGCAATTGAACTGATTCCAGCGGCTGACCCAAAACATCGCCGGCGGAAGAGAGGTACTCGGAGCAGCCTGCTGGTTCGACTTAGGAGGCGCGCACACCACCCACCGCTTACAAGTATACTACTTGCTAATGTTCAGTCTTTGGATAACAATGTCGACGAGCTCCGGGCAATGATTTCTTTCCAGAGAGACATCAGGGCCTGTAACATAATTAGTTCCACCGACATGGCTCTCTGGGGTTATTCTGTCGAAATCGGTCCAGCCACATGGGTTCTCAGTTCATCGCACAGACAGAAATAAATATCTCTCCGGGAAGCAGAAGTGCGGAGGTGTGTGTTTCATGATTAACGACTCATGGTGTAATTGTAGTAACATACAGGAATTCAAGTCCTTTTGTTCACCCGACCTAGAATAATCACAATCAAATGCCGACCGTATTATCTCCCAAGAGAGTTTTCTTTGGTTATAGTCACGGCCGTTTATATCCCCCCTCAAGCCGATACCTGGACTTCATGCAAACTGGAAACCATTATATCCTGAGGTTGCATTTATTGTAGCCGGGGATTTTAACAAAGCAAATTTGAGGACTAGGCTGTCGAAGTTCTATCAACATATCGACTGTTGTACTCGGGCTGCTAAACTTCTCGACCATTGCTATTCGAACTTCCGGGATGGTTATAAGGCCCTCCCCCGCCCTCCTTTCTGCAAATCTGACCATGACTCCATTTTGCTCCTCCCTTCCTATAGGCAGAAACTCAAACAGGAAGTACCCGTGCTAAGGACTATTCAACGCTGGTCTGACCAATCAGAATCCACGCTTCAAGATTGTTTTGATCACACGGAATGGGATATGTTCCGGGTAGCTTGCGAAAATAATTTAGACGAATACACTGAAACGGTGACTGAGTTTATCAGGAAGTGTATAGGAGATGTTGTGCCCACTGTGACTATTAAAACCTACCCTAACCAGAACCCGTGGATAGATGGCAGCATTCGTGCAAAACTGAAACGCCATCCCATCTGGTTTGGGCTTAGTGGGACTATCATTTGTTTTTCAACAGGACAATGACTCAACACACCTCCAGGCTGTGTAAGGGCTATTTGACCAAGAAGAACAGTGATGGAGTGCTGCATCAGATGACCTGGCCTCCACAATCCCCCGACCTCAACCCAAATGAGATGGTTTGGGATGAGTCGGACTTGAGAGTGAAGGAAAAGCAGCCAACAAGTGCTCAGTATATGTGGGAACTCCTTCAAGACCGTTGGAAAAGCATTCCAGGTGAAGCTGGTTGAGAGAATGCCAAGAGTGTGCAAAGCTGTCATCAAGGCAAAGGGTGGCTATTTGAAGAATCTCAAATATATTTTGATTTGTTTAACACTTTTTTGGTTACTACATGATTCCATATGTGTTATTTCATAGTTTTGATGTATACAATGTAGAAAATAGTAAAAATAAAGAAAAACCATTTAATGAGTAGGTGTTCTAAAACTTTTTACCTGTAGTGTACATGATGTTTCCTGATCTTTCTTATATCTCTCAGATATAGGACAGACACTTCAGAACAAACTTCCTTGTGATTTTTTTGGGGGACTATCTGTTGTTCCATGTAATGAATCTGTTATTCAATGTGTTTGTGTGGGCTAATAGCATTAAGGCTCCAATTTTTTACAAATCAAAAATATTATTATTTGTTTTTATACTTCTAGGGGTCTTAAATTCAAAATCAAATAGCTAAATGATCCTTGGTATGACACTCCATATAATTAGCTTAGTAGAACCCCCTGGCTTAGACAGGGCTTAAACTCTTATGGGTTTTAAGGGATAGTTAACTTTTGTTGAAGTTAAATCTTATTTCTGAATTAGTGTTATATCCAAACCATTTTGAAGTTGGAAAGCTGTTTATTTTATATCTCGTTTCACGAAGGCAATTCACAAAAATGTTTGCAGAGTGGCTGATTACCTTCGTAATTGTCATGAACAAGCACGAGTGGCACAAGTTCGTGACACAGGTTTAGCAATTTCTTTGTGAAACAAAAACCTGTTGTTCATTGCAAATCGCATCTTGCGTGCAGCAAATTTTGTGAAACGAGCCCCAGAATCTCCTGGCTAGAATTTTTGCTAGTGGAAATGGACTGTATCCTTGCTTGCTTTCCACATACTTTTGAATGCACCGCTAACTGATACAATCCGTTTCCACTAGCATTGCAATATTTTCCATAAATGCTAACCAGGAGATTCTGGACGTTGCTAAAAAACCAGCTAACGAACTTGGTCAGTGAAAATTGCTTTGGATGGAACAACTGCCACCTAGGCAAATAAAAAATAAAAAAAACGTTTCAGCTTTTAAGAATTACCCAACAAAGTACACGTTAACAGACCATATTTCTACACAGCAATATCAAATCTACTTAACTTCGCAATTGTATTCTTGAGCCAGTTAACCTACAGCATATCTTTCTCTACTCCCATATCCTTTCTCTCGCACTCTCTCTCACTCCTGTTTGTATTTATGGTGTTCACAGCCTCCATGTGAAATGATGAGATTATGTGAACCAGATAATTGTGTCCACAGATGTAACTGCCCTGCCAGGAATGCCTCCTGCCTCTCAGGTTACCTCCCTCCTCCTCACCTCACCCCCACCAACCTCCTTTCCACCATCCATGTCTCTACCGGGTATCTCCTATGAAACTGTCCCATGCCCTGCCCTATACACCAGGACAGAATCCTATAGAGTTACCCCTATAAACACTGATCTAAGGTCATTTTTGCATTTCCCCACCATTATGGTTTAAGTTACAATCATGGGAGGGTAGGCTAATCCTAAATCTGTGCCTAACTAAGGTCAATCTGGCCCATGTCCGAGAGTCCGAGAACCCTGAGAACCGAGCTCCTTAAGACTCAAATGTGGGTCTCTCGAGTTTCAATGGCTTTACTGTGATCACGCTGGCAATTTATCACAATAAGATCAGATGAATAGTCTGCTGTAGATGCTGTACTATATTATGTATGCCAGGTGATCAGAAAAAATTATCTTTAAATCAGACATCAAGGAATTGGGAATACAAGTAGTAGTTCTGATTGTTCATGTGTAAAAACAAGGACTATTCTCTCTAACACAACACACGACTATGCAGATGGGTTTTTCTCTATCTTTATGCATACTCCAATGCTCCAACAACACAATACCTTGACATATATTTTTGCTTCATTCAGAAGATGTTTAGTTCTAATATCCAATTGCCAATAAATACATTCACACTTTTTTCTTCTGTCCAGCACCTCATGAGAAGTGAAACGCCTCTGACCGCAAACATTTTCTCAATGCGGTCCGAAAGCACGGTACAAAATTAGTCAATACATTTTCAATAAAATAACAGTGATGGTGCGAGCATGTGTGTGCAATGGAGAATGTCAAAGGGATAGTGGTAACCCTTCAGCCGCCTTTCCCAAGGTATTAAGTCACCACCCCACTCTTAATTACCAAATACATCGCATTTCTTAAGTTTTAATTGTGGATCAGCATCTAAATATAAAGAGTACCGGCACCCAAAAAGATTATGGATAACTATTTCAGTCCACTTCAAGCACTAACGGTACTCACGTTAACTATACTGTAATTGGGTTCATATTTTAAACTGATACTTAACGTTGCCACGAGCAGCAGGATGAAATGCTGATGTTGCACTTGCAAAAAATATCTGCACATGTGCATGGGTGCGCTTCACACTGTTGCAAAGTGATAGCTGTGGGACCAAAACAGAAGAGAAATTTAGCCTTGTGATTCGTATTCGTCGTTGTTGCAGAAATCAGATGATATTACTGTTTACTTCATGCATCGCTGACTCTACCTTTAAAACAGGTATTATTTAAGTATCAGTACTCAGTAGAAAAGCGGTGCCAATACTCTGTACCATTTAAGACCAACTTCAACCACTTGAAAATAGTTCACCGTTGAAAAGCATGAACTTGAGCCATCGACAACAAACACTGGCAATCCATCAACTTTGCCAATTCCAAAGCCTTCC